CTGAAAAAATGAAGACATTTTCTAATATTAACTAATAATGTGGAGAGAGTACTGGAGTTAAATCATCGTTTTGCAAAAATCATAGTAATACTGGTTCAGGCAAGAATCATCAACGGATATTAAATGTAGTGAGAAGTATGTGTAGACAGCACTTTCATCAGTGATCAAAATTAATGCCACCAACGAAGGACAGAAAAACAACATGTGCCTCCAGATAGAATACACTCAGAAGTATCTTTTATGTAGTACTCGGACTGAGAATGTGAAACCTAATCTTGAGGGACCGTTAGACAGACTCCAACTTCTGACTGATTTTTATAAATACTTCAGTGCTCAAAAGGCAAATGTGTTTTTTTATATCTGTAGAACTGTAAATTTTCTATGTATTAATGTGAGTTGTTGATGTATGTATATATATATACACACACACATATATATGTGTGTATATATATATTTTGAGACAGAGTCTTGCTCTGTCACCCAGACTGGAGTGCAGTGGCGTGATCTCGGCTCACTGCAACCTCTGCCTCCCAGGTTCAAGCAATTCTCCCGCCTCAGCCTCCTGAGTAGCTAGGATTACAGGTGCACAAACTGCACCCAGCAAATTTTTGTATTTTTAGTAGAGTCGGGGCTTCACCATGTTGGTCAGGCTGGTCTCGAACTCCTGACCTCATGATCACCCTCCTTTGCCTCTCAAAGTGCTGGGATTAAAGGCGTGAGCCACCGTGCCTGGCCTGATGTATATTGTTAATTGTGGTTATGTCGTATGGGTCCTTGCCTTTCTTGTTATATTTTGTTTACTCTTAGGTCTATCACCTTCTGAAAAGAGCACATTAAAATCTCCCATGGGAGTTGTATTTTTAAAATCAAATTCTCCTTGTATTTCTATGAGTTTTTGCCTTATATGTAGCTGTGACTTTTTAGGGGGAAGAAAGTTTCATGACTTTTCATTTTCTTTATCCTTTGTAATGTTCTGATCTTAAATGCATTTTTTGTGATATATTATTGCAACTTTTCTTTCATTTTGTTTGAATTTGCTTGGAATCCCTTTATTTTAACTCTTTTCTAATCTTTTAGAGTGTATTTCTTATTTTTTAATTCAATATATTGTACTTCAATAAAGGAATTCAGACTATTTGCATTTAGGATAGTAAATATCCTTCCATGTAATTTTATGTTTCTCTGTATTTTACTTTGTTATTACTTCCTTTTTTCCCTTAATTAATTAATTTGCTAGCTTGAGTAAATTGTCATTTAATCCTTTCTTTTTTCCTCTTACTAATTTTGAAGTATTTCTCTGCTTTTCAATTCTGCAAGTGGTTACTTTTTTCCCCAAGAATCATCATTGAACATATATTATCTCTTATGTCTGATTATGACAGCAATTATCAACTTGCTCCCAACAAATTGTTTATTTACCTATCCCTCTCTACTAAGAGCAAAATGAAAGGAAACCATTAGAAATGCTTTATTTCTTTACTCTTAAACTTTCTTTTAATTTTCTTTTCCAGGTCTTGCTCAAATAGTTTAAAACATTTAGTTTAGGCTATTGTATTAGTCAGGGTTGTCCAGAGATACAGAACCAAGAGAATCTATGAAATGGAATTTATTAGCGGAATTGGCTCACATGATCACAGAAGTAGAGAAGTCTCCCAATAGGCTGTCTACAAGTTGGAGAACCAGAGAGGCACATAGCCTGACTCAGTCCAATTCCAGAAGCCTTAGAACCAGGGAAGCACCCAGTATGAGGAACCAAGGAGGCTACTGGTTCAAGTCCCAGAGTCCCAAAGCCAAAGAACCTGGAGTCTAATGCCCGAGGGCAAGAGGAGAAAGATGTTTGCTCCAGCTCCAGAAGGGAGGTTGTGGGGGTGGGGGTAGTGGGGGACAGAGAGAGAGAGAGAAAGAGAGTCCTCCTTCTTCCATCTTCTTGTTACAACTGGGCCCACAGGGCGGGTCGTCCTTTCAGTGACTCACATGCCCAAAACACCCCCACAGACACCCCCAGAAACAACGCCCTACCAGCAGCCATCCAGGCATCCTTTAATCCAATCACATTGATACCTAAAAATTAACCATCACAGCTATTACTAGGGTTAGCTTTTACTTTTTCCCTATTCTAAAACCTCTTATTTAAAACTTTAAATAAAAATCCCCATTTATATTATTCATATATGCATAAATGTATGCATATATATAACATAATATATATGTTTTATATATATATAATATTAGGAACATTTAACAGCCAGCATGTACAGGAACTCATCTATCAGATCAGAATAAATGCCCGCTGTGACTAAGCATTCTTGTCAGTGCCGCTTCCCAGTGTTTTGCTTAATTTACTTAATCTTCCTTCTTGAATGGCTTTTTTGGTTAGTGTACTTTCTCAAGTATGTTCCTCAGCAAGGGTAGATGGGTGACACACACTAAGAATCCTTGTATATCTGCAAATTATTCTAGCTTGCTGTATTGCAATTGGAAAGTTGGGCGCTCATCTGTTTCTGTTTCTGTTTTCTTTTTAACTAATTTCTTCTTCCTGTTGATTGTCAGGGAAAAAACAGTGATTAAACAGTGGTGAAATTGGAATTTGGGACTTTTCGAAAAATTAGGCTATGTCAAGGTTTCTAGTTCTCTCTTTAGTTAGTCCATTCTGGGACTAAAAAAGCTCTCTTAATATTGAAATTAATCTTTCTTCAGATAAAAAATCCTTTATTATTTGTTTAGTTTTTGTGATCATTTCATCTGTTTCCTTCTCTTCTTCTGAAATGCTTGTTACTTGCAACTTAGGTCTTTAAGTGTTTTGCATCTTCTCCCTTCACGATTTTCGTCTTTTTACATTTGTCGCTCTGTTGTACAGGCTACTAAGTCCTTTTTCAGAAATGACTATCTTCTATTTCAGCTTACGTATTAAAAGTTTCGATGAGAATGTTGTATCATTTGTACCTAAAAAATGCTCTTTATTTTATTTATTTATTTCCTTACTGATTTTTGAGACAGAGTCTTGCTCTGTTGGCCAGGCTGGAGTGCAGTGGCATGGCTCACTGTAACCTCCGCCTCCCAGGCTCAAGTGACCCTCCCACCTCAGCCTCCCCAGTAACTGTGACTACAGGCATGAGCCACTATGCCAGTTAAATTTTGTATTTTTAGTAGAGACGGGGTTTTACCATGTTGACCAGGCTAGTCTTGAACTCCTGGCCTCAAGTGATCCAGCCTCCTCGGCCTCCCAAAGCACTGGGATTACAGGCCACTGCACCCAGCCTAGAAAGTGATTTTTATTCTTCAGTTGGATCTCCTCGAGAGCTTCTCTTAGATTGCTGTTTAATATTCTCACCTGAGTCTTCTGACATCGTGCTCCAGTGGGTCCCCTGCTTGTTGAACTCTGCTGTGTCTCCTTTGTTCTGGTTATTGAGTGTTGGCTGAAAGAGATGTTCTTTTCCTTAACCTGCTCATGATTTTGTCAGGTCAACTGTTCGGTAAAATCACTGGGATCTTTCCAGTGCCTATGGGGCCTAGGCAATTCTAGCCTTAAGGGACAGTGGTGAACAAAACGGCCATGGTCACTCTGCTTCTGAGCAGAGGGAGCAAGCTTCTGCCCACAGGTCCAAGGAGCAGCTTCGTGTCACATCAGGGACTAAGAGTAGTTACCTTACTCCTGTTCCTCTGTAGGTCCTCTGAGGCCAGAAGAGTCTGGCTGGCCCTCCCAGAACCACACATGAGTGGCCTCCTCCAGGGGCACAAGCTGTCCACTACTTGAACAGATATTATTTTTTAGGATTTAAGAAAGTCATTGAAACTTCAAGCATCAACTCAAAGGAAAACGGAAGGAGGGAGAAAGGAGTAAAAGAAAGCCACCCAAAGTACTGCTTGACTAGGGAAGACTATAGATGCTATGTCTCTCTCTCTGTCTCTCTCTCTCTCTCTCTCTCTGTGTGTGTGTGTGTGTGTGTGTGTGTGTGTGTGTGTGTGGTGTCTGTAGCAGCTATAGTGGTGTATCTAAGTCATACAACAGTTCTGATGTGACTCCAGCTAATTCCAGCCTTCCATTAACTGAAACCATTTGCTCCTTGACTGGTTGGGTCTTTAGGTTCTGAGATCAATACTTTCACAAGACAGCTAATTAGCCCACATTCAGAAGCTCAAGAGCTTCATCAGGTCCTGCACCAGACAAACTGACTTCTGCTGTGAATTGGCATCGAGCCTATCCCTCCTTCTATTCTGCCAGGATTGGCCTTGTTTTCCTCTTCATATCACTTGGGGTTCAGTCCGAGAAGCAGAACCACTTGGTGAGATAGACATAGTAAGGGGTTGGCTATAGACATTTCACCTTATATAATTGCGGGGACTGGTCTATGCAAGGCTGTTATTTCTGTGTCTAGTGCTGAGGCCTGAAATCAGCATCAGATACAGAAGTGGGGAAGAAACGATGGACAGGAAGTGGGTAACTGAGGATAAACTGGATGGGCTGGAACTCAGGGAATGTGGTGGAATCCACACTGGTGTCTCACTTCGCCCAAGACCCCAACTTTGATGAGGGGGATGATTTACAGAAATTGTGCATTTTCTCATGGAGCAAAAGCAAAATGCTAAACTGGCCCAGGGATCTAAATCCCTGGGGATTTAGCTCCCGGGGGAGCTAAAATGAGAGCATTTGCAGGAGCTGGTGGGCTTGGGGGAAGCCGCAGGTCCCAATGCTGGCCCATACCACCCAGAAGATATGTGACAATGTCTGTGAGGGCTTGTGCCCTGTCCTGGCCTCTGAGCATAACAAGAATGTAGCTGCTGCTGCCTTTCTTTGTTCTGAATCTCTTGCAAAATGTACTTGTGGCCAAAGTTGACCTGGCATGACCCAGAGAAGGGAATTCTAAGAAACACAACTCCGGCTTCACTAAATTGACATTGTAACGTCCCCACATCCTGTGAGGCTGCAGTCTTGTCATTTACTCTAGACTGTGGGCTACCTGATGGCCTTGTAGCTCACCTGTCTTCTTACTTTGTCCCAGTGCCTGTCCAGGTCAAAGGAAGCACCTTCTCTGTGTGTACCAGACATTTCCAGCTTGGCCCTCCCAGAACTTCGCCCCACCCCTTCATGGTATGGATTTCAGAAACCAGATCTAACTCCAGCTGAAGGTCGAAGGAGTTTATGGAATAATCTATGTGGATGTGGGCATCCTAGAACGAGGCTTTCCTCTTCTGTTCTGAATTCATGGGGAGCTTTAGGAAGCTGCAGCTGTGTGTGAGAAGGCTTCTCAGAGATACTGTGGAGTTCAAGGCTCAGGAATCCATACTTGGGAGAATGAAGTTAATATGGATGCTGCATTCACCTGGTTCAGGAAATCCTGCTTTCCTCTCAGCCTCATCCTGGAGGTGTAGTACTGGACATTCCTGGTGTTTTGGGAGGCCAGACATTATAGACAGCCTGGTCCAAACCTTTCATTTTTCTTCCAGAGGCATTGAGAAAGCAGCCTCATTAGGAGCAATGGCTGGAAGTAGACTGCCTACCTTTACATCAGGGCCTGACCTTGTACTAGGGTATGTGACCTTGGGCACATTACTTGCCCTCTCTATCCTTGATTTCTTCACATGTAAAATAGGGGAAAGCAGTAGTACCTACCTTGGACTGTTATGTCTATTAACTGACAAGTAGACTAAGTGTCTGGCACCTAATAAATGCTCAATAAAATGTATTATTATATATAGACAGTTTCCCCATAACCAGAGCCCTCTAACTCAAGGAAGCAGGCCATGGGGACTTCCTCCAGTTCTGGGTGGTTCTTCATCACAACTATCCCTCAAACTCATAGCTGGCTGTTGGTCACCTCTTTCCAACATGGACACCATTCTGCCTTGCACTGGAGTTAGCTGCTGGCTTATCTGCCTTCTCACTAAGCTGGCTGTATTAGGGTTCTCTAGAGGGACAGAACTAATAGGATATATATAATCCTATTAATACTTAATAAACTCCCCTATATATATGGGCGATCACGTGATCACAAGGTCCCAAAACAGGCCGTGTGCAAGTTGAGGAGCAAGGAGAGATCCAATCCAAGTCCCAAAACTGTAGAACTTGGAGTCCCATGTTTAAAGGCAGGAAGTATCCAGCATGGGAGAAAGATGTAGGCTGGGAGGCTAGGCCAGTCTAGCTTTTTCACGTTTTTCTACCTGCTTTATATTCTAGCTGTGCTGGCAGCTGATTAGATGATGCCCACCCAGATTAAGAGTGGGTCTGCCTTTCCCAGCCCACTGACTCAGATGTTAATCTCCTTTGGCAGCACCCTCACAGACATACCCAAGCTTAATACTTTGCATCCTTCAAGCCAATCATGTTGACACTCAGTGTTAACCATCACACTGGGGTTTCACTTAGCATCACTAGGAGCTGGGTCTACTTCATCCGTTCCCAGCACAGAGCCTGGCAGACACTAGGCCTGCAGAAAAGCTTTGGGGGGAACCAACATCTTCAATTCCCAGAACTTCTGATTTGCAAAGACTTGGAGGTAGTCTAAGCCAATTGCCCACTCAATTTTAGGAATTCCTCTTTTAGACCATTTTGCAGATAGTCTTCTAGTCTCTGCTTACATACTTCCAGTTATGGGAGACTCACTATTACTCAGGGCAGCCCATTCTCTTTTTTTTTAAACCACCCTAATTTTAGAGCTTTCTAATTTTAGTCAACAGGATTAATTTTTTCACCATTTGCATCAAGTTTTGGCTGGAGACTGCAAAATCATGCAGAGAGAGAGTTGGTAAATAAGAATTATTCTGGGTTTATGGATGACGTTATGAAATAGTAAAAAGGGTGACGGAGCACACAGCATAACTTTTATAAGCTTTGCTCAACTAGTCAGAAACAGGTCCTCGGAAATGTCTATTCATTTCTGCTTCCAGTGTTTGTTGGGAACATTCTTATATGGTTGTTATTTACAAAGCTAGACAGAAGTTTATAGAGAGTTTGAAGGTAGAAGTTTATAGAAGGCTTGATGTATTTGTCTGCATGCCAGTCTCCTAAAAGTCCTCATTCTGGTCCACAGTTTTGGGGAGTGCAGTAGTTGGAATTCTTAGCGTGCATCTGAAAGTCCTCGAAAGGAAGGGGTTAGGCTTTCCATTTTCCAAGAGATAGTTTTGCTGCCTTCTGGAAGGGATGATCAGATCTTAGGATAGGTGCCTCCCAATAACCCATAATGCTATCGGGAGTTTAGCCAGAACATTAGCCCCCTTGGATTAATTCAGAATTCATTCAAATAGTCATTCCCTAATGCCTACTCTATACAAGAATTTCCCTCAAGGTACTCACAACTGATTGGAGGTGAACAAAGATATGATCATGACTCTGGTCCCAGCCAGAAAGTTCTTAGAGCCTCCTTATCCAAGCAATCTGTAGTGGGGTGAGGCGTTCCAGGAAACTTCAGAGAACTCCTCCTCTAAACCCTTTTTCAACAGCAAGTAAGTGGGATTTGGGGGAGACTATTGTGTAATAGAAAAAACACCTGAAAGGAGAATCTGGTTCCCTGAGCGGAGAGGTCCACTTGCTGCTACCTCAGTGTTCTTTTGTAAAGTGAAGAATCTCTAACATGCGTGTTGGCTCTAACATGCTGAACATTTGCAACTAAAAAGCAGTCACAATCCCTGACCCCCAGTTGCATAGAGCTTCATGGTTTCCACCCTGCTGTCATTTGAATCTAATCCTCATGGTCCCCTGAGAGGCAGATGGGATGAGGACTATGATTTCCATTCTATGGATAAAGAAACTGAGGCTCAGCACGTGTCCAAGGTCGCATGGCAGGGGAATGGCTGAGCCTGGAGTTCAGGTTTTTCCCCACCCACTGCAACTGTTGTGGGGCCTTTAGGCTCTGACAATCCATAATTATATAGTCAGCCTTGAAACGGCAAAACATCGAAGCGGGTGGCAGGAAGGTGACTATTAAGATGGTGAATGTAGCTTTTATGTGGAAGATACATCAGTATAAAAGCATTTGTATGGAAGGAAAGGAGGAATGTGGGCTCAGACCGTCTCTGGGATAGTGATCTTTTGTCAGTTTATTAAATTCAGATTTATTGCTGACTTTCTGACCAAAAACATAGCTGTTAGCAGTCTATAACGAAGCAGAAATATGAATTTTCAGTGAATCTGAGAAAAAAAATAAGAGAAGAAACATTAATGACCTGTCGTTTGGAATAAATCTTAGTGGTCACATAAACTAGGATGACAGGAATTTATATTGTCCCTTAACACTTGAATGACTAATGTGGCTAGAGTGGAGAGCCACAGAAATTATTTCTCTTAAAAAGCCAGCACCTGTTTGCAGGCTTTTGGAACTGTTTGATGAATTCAGGGAAGGTTGCCTTGATGTCCCCCAGTCAGGCTCTTGGTAGACAACACCAAGCTTGAGACAGAGGTGGTGTTTCAGCCCTGTCCTAAGACCCTTAACTTGGCTGGTCTCAGAGGCTGTCGAGGTTCCTGAGTTGGTCGGGGAGGACCCTCAAGAGGCTAGAGAAGATCTTCTGAGAGACATTGAATGAGCAGGGCAGGGGCAGCCATAAAGGGTCTCAGATGGCCTCAGGGTGGATTTTCATCTGAACAGGTCTCTGATCCCACCACACACTGGGATCCTGGATTCCGTAGCATCAGAATTACTATGTTACAGCCAGAACAGCTCCCCAGAGATTTGTTAGTTTGACACCTCCATTTTTTCAGATGAGAAGACAGATTCACAGCATGAAAATAACTAGCTCAAACATACAGGATAAGAGAGTGGCAGGTGCAGAAGGAGAGCTCACACATCCAGACTCCTGGGCATCGCACAGCCCCTATTTATGGGACAATGGTCCTTCCTTATTCGAGTGTGAGTGAGTACAACCCTGCATCCCATTGCTATCCAACAGATATGCCATGTTTAGTGCTGTTTAGTGCTGGGGATGTACGATCCCCAACCCAGACAATCCCACTAAGATACTTCCTGTGAAAATCATTACCCATCCTAAAAACCTCTCTCACTGGTATAGCGTGTTACCATCTACACCATGTTTTCACGTATGGGATTCTTGCTAAATGGGTAGATTTTAGCTGCTCTTGACACACACACACACACACACACACACACACACACAAATGGGTAATGATGTGAGATGATGGGTATGATAGTTTGCTTCATGTTCTCTTTATGTGATCCTCACAACCATACTGGAAAGGCACACAGAATGGCTACTTTTATTCTTTTTATAGAAAAGATGAAGAAACTGAGGTTCAAGGAGTAAGAATTTCCTGAAGAATCCATGTGTCTTTCAGTGAAATTCTGAATGTATTGTAATGAAGTACGGTTAGTGGATTAAGTTAATGGATTAGTCAACACCATTGCTGGGCACCATTAAGAACACAGAAAACGCCCAGCTCTGACCCTGTACCCCCAGCTCTCACGCTGAGACACTGCTGTCTATTAGAGAAAGAAGAGGTCATCAAACCCCTGACCTCTTCTGGAATGGCCTGGGACTATCTTTGCCTCCCAGAGCCCACAGAACCAATTCCTGGAGGTTTAAGTTAATGAAAGCCAGCTTTTTCTCTAAACAGTTCACCTAAAATGCGATCTCTTTTTGAGGCTTTCCAGATCTGATTGGGGTGTCCTATTTTTTTCTGTTATTTAAAAACACACTGTAAGTATTTTAAAACCCATTCATCCAAGAGAAAACTTCTGGCTAAATTTTATGCTTTTATTCATTTATCAAATTTACAGCATTTTATGAAAGGGCTTTATCTATGTAGGTGTCTTTTCTATCAAAAGGTATAAAATTATCCTTTCCTCAAAATGATATGTATGTGGCAATAAATACCTGCATTAAAAATGGAAATTCCAGCCAAGTGTTATGCATGGATACACCTGATCCTGTCTTTGTAATTATGGATGATATGTATTGATGCTGGGGATTATTTATCTCACGCTCCATAATTGGCTATTAATTTATGAATATGAGAGCTATATTCCAGGTAACCCAGAATGAAATGCTGCAGATTTGATTTATTGTGACCTGATAATGGGTGTTAGGGGTTATCCAAGTGACACACAGAGAACACAGAGGACACAGGAAGAAGCTCGAGTGTCGGATGCGTTTTAACTTTGGCAAATACCAGATGTGTGAAAGGGTTTTAGGGGCCTGAGATTTAAGCCCATTTAGAGATTAAAATACCTTAATAATGACGACTTTAGCAGTCATTTCATTGATTCATTCATTCCCCCATTTATTATTTTTATTTTCTTTTTGAGACAGGGCCTTGCTTTGTCACCAAGGCTGGAATGCTCAATCACAGCTTACTGCAGCTTCGACCTCCAGGGCTTAAGTGATCCTCCTGCCACAGTCTCCTGAGTAGCTAAGGCTACAGGCATGCACCATCACGCCTGGCTGATTTTTGTATTTTTAGTAGAGATGGGGTTTCCCCATGTTGCCCAGGCTCATTCCCCCATTTCAAACATATTATAGAGCACCCACTGTGTGCCAGGCACTGGGCTTGGCTCTGGGACACAAATCATGAGCATAAACAGATATGTTCCTTGACCTCCTAGAGCCTATTCTCTTGTGAGGAAGGCACACCTTAAGATCACCACACATTTGTGTCCTTCTCCCTTTTATTTTTATTTATAGAACACTGATATTGTTTGGGTTGACAAGATGCCCAACTAAACAACTACATTTCCCAGATTCCCTTGCAGTTGAGGGTAGCCATATGACACGTTCTGGTCAGAGAGATGTAACTGGAAACCTGCTGGTTATTTTGGGGACTTTGCTTTCCTGATAGGGTGGCTGTCTCTTCCATCTTGTTGCTTCCTTTTTTCTCCCTTTCCTTAGAGAATATGAGTATGCAGCTAGAAGTGAGCGGTTATCTTGCAACTATGAGGTGGCAATCTAGAATTGTTATGGGAGAAAAAATAAGCACCTACAGATGTGGTTAAACACATGGTAACTGTACCTTTTTTACATACAACCCATGCAGTTCCTACTGTTACCCTCACATGTATTGGGTGTAAGATTATGAGGCCAGAATTCTCTGAAGTGGTGGTAGGAGCCTGGAAAGGGTGATTCCAGCAGTGGCCAACTGCTACGACTTGAGAAATGTGTCTGCAAGGGCTAAATAAGGTCTAGTCTCCCATGTTTCAAGGGCTACCCCAAGGTACACAGCATGTTGGGGTGATTTGTAAATACTCTTATCTACCACCGGATTGCATTGTGAAGTGGACACTGCCTACTTCACAAGGTTGTCACTTAGGAGGTAGAGATGGAAGAGTGTGAGTAGAAGTCTCTTGTACAAAGGAAGGTGCTGCACAGGGGCCAATTACTTTTCTTTTCATACGAAATAGTCTGAAATTAAAGACAGACAGGAAACATAATATGTATGTACATATCATATCATATATAATGACAGCCTAAGGAAAGGTGGATGTTTTCCTTTTAATTTAGAGATGGGGCCTCACTCTGTCGCCTAGGCTGGAGCGCAGAGGCACAATCACAGCTCACTGCAGCCTTAAACTCCTGGGCTCAAGTGATCCTCCCTCCTCAGCCTCCCAAATAGCTGGGACTACAGGGTGCAAAACTGCCTCCTGAAGGATGATGCAGAAGGCCCTGGTTACAAAGGGCTACGTAAAAAGGGCACATAGATGGCGTGCCCAGCACAGCAAAGTCCTGACAGTAGGAAAATGCTGGGAACCCGCGTAGGAAAGAACCAAGCCAGGACCCAAGGACTTCCATATTTTAAATAATGGATTGGAAACTAGGAAATGACCAATGGCAGGGTATAAGGGGTGTGTGTGTGTGTTTATGTTGAGGGTGATGTGGGGGGAGAGAAAAGCACCGGGTATAATTTTCTCCAACAGCCAGCTAAGCTGAAGGGATGTAGCGCCTATGCTTGAATTTTTCAAAGCAGTATTTGTAAGGCTTCAGGGTCCAGAGCTAGAAGTGACTCTGCAGCACAAGGCTGGAAGAAATCCAGACTCAGGACCGCTTTCCCTTTCCTTCCCAGAGCCGCCCACCGACTGTTTGACAGGCACAAACTGGAGTTCTTTCCACACGGCGTGGCAGGGCCACGGAGAAGCCGCTTCTGGGTAATTAAACAATTAGCTCCTTGCACTCTTCCTGCAGGAACAAATCCGGGCCCCCATGGCATCTGTCCCCTCCTGTTCCTCCAGCTGGCCTCCTTGCCACGCGCACACCCTCTCCGGAACCAGGCCCGGCTGCCTGCGCCCCCCTCCCTTCCACTTCCGCCACCAGAAGGGGCGCGGGGAGGCCGGGCTGGAGGGGAGGGCCCAAGGCTCACGGGGGCTGGGTGACTGCCGCCCCAGCACGCGTGCCCCTGAACTTGTCTTCAAAGTTCTCCTACGGGGTTGGCAGCCCCCTCTTGAAAGCTGCTCCGTAGCCGAGGCAGCATATGGACTGTTGACAGAGCAGCTGCTGGGGAAGAAGACGCTGAAAGGAAGCCTCGAGGGATAAACAGGAGAAACCCATGTCACCACGTGGCACCCCAGGCGCGCCTCAATGCAGCAGCTCGTTCACTCTCATCTCCTTCCGGGGGCGAGGAAAGTGGTTTTGGACTGCTGTGCTCGATTGTCTGCTCTTAAAATAATGAACATCATTATCATCCTAATGAGAATGAGTATGACAATGATAGCTAACAGTTGTGCCAGCCAGTTCTCTAAATGATTTCAGGTGCGTTGTTCCATGTGCTCCTTCAAACCGCCCTCTGAAGAAAGAACTGTTATTATTCCCATTTTGTAGATGAAAAAACCAAGGCTAGAGAGCTTAAGGATTTTATGCTAGTCACAGGGCTAGTAAGTGACCCAAGTCTTGTGCCAAAGCCTTCACTCTTAATCACTGTGATTTCCTATTACAAGCATTTTGAGTGTCAGACCACTGTAGTAGGGCGGATAATTAAGATGCGTGGTGTCGTGTGATTTACAAAGCAATGGCTGCATTCATTCTCTTATCTGACCTCCAGAGAGCAGGGACAGGTGAGAGTCATCTCTGTACTCCCAGCCTCTAGAACTGGGTCTGGCACAGAAGCATACAGTGAATTAGAGGAATAATACATGAATCAATCAATCAATCAACCCTGGGAAGTGCTTTCACATTCATTTTGCAGGTGAGAAAACAGGCTCTTCAGAGAGTTTTGCCTGAAACCACATAATAATAAACTTGGTTGAGAGGAGATTTGAACTCTGATCTTCAGACCACAGGTCCTGTCCTCCCTCTTTCCTACCTGGAATGTATCAGGTTGAGTGGGGGAGAAGTCTGGGTTGGGGTGGGACAGGGAAAGAACATAAAACCACGAGTGTGGTTTATTTCAGAGTTGCTTGCGGATAACTTAATAAATCCCCAGGGTAGAGAGCTTGAAGAGTATTGTTTCAAATGACATCTAGATTGAGCAAAAAGATGTTAATTTTTTTTTCCTGTCCCGAGCCCTGTCTACAACCTGATCCCCAGTGGCCCCAGGAAGCTGCGGGTCTGTCAAATGCCGTTTCCCCAGGTGGATCAGTGATCCCAGTTGGGGATCTGGACCTTCCAGACGTGAAGGCAGAAGTGAAGAGCCCATTCATCACATTGAAAGCTGATACCTGACAGAGATTCAATCCCATCTTGATGCTGGAAACTTGGAGAGAAATGGAGTGGTTTAATTTTCTCAGGTACCAGAGAAAAAACTTCCCGAATATCAAAGGTAGGACCAGAAACTGCATGAATGACTCTACTAGAAAGCTCCACTTCAGGGCGTGGCAAATCAGGGCCTGGCTATTGGCAGTCTCTTATTTCCAGAACATGATTCTGGAAGATTCTTCAAATGCGTGTTGCACACAAATTTGTCAAGCATGAATTTACTATGCTATTTGGCACAGGGAAAATACTATATCCAAACTCTGCCTCCTTTTAAGTTGAGAATGGGCTGGAAACCTGGAGGAGGTCAGGTTCCTAAGGATGGGCTTTGCTAAGCAGAGGCATATGGGGAGGATGCAGACTGGATTAACCAAGAGAAAGCTAAATCGTTAACATTTTGTGGTGTTGAACTTAAGAATTTCTGAGTCCTTTAGAGTTCATGGACATAAGGACAAGAACAGAAGCCTGCCACATTTGAATCGCAAAGCTTTGTAAAGGTCCACTGAGACCAGAGGTACTTCTACTGCAACTCTTGTCTAATCGGTGAGGTACAAGGGTATCCTTAATGGAGTTCTCGTATGTAAAGAAAGGAACCAGATACCTGGGCCCTTCTGACTACCCATGATTTCTCCCCAACCTCATCTGAAATGCTTTTGCCTCTGGGTATTTGCTTATGCTGTTTCTGGTGCCTGGAATACATATTCCTCTTTTCTGCTCACCAAACTTTTGTTTATGCTTAGAAGCATACATCGAGTCACACCCCTTTTATGTGTGTGTGAAGCCTTCCTTGGACACTCCCAGCTGAGCTGGTTACATTCTGCTTGGGATTCCCACTTTGCACATTCTTCTGCTTGTCACGTGCTATTGTCTTCGTTTTGTTAGTTTGTTTTAGAAGTCTGTTTCCCACAGGCGGAAAGGAGGACAGGCTTCCTATTCCCTTCCAGAGGTCCAAGGGCCAGGTAGCTTCTGGTGCTTGTTAGCAGCTCCTTTTTGAAAGAACAAGAAGGTATGATGTCTAACCTGTTGACAATGCCAGGATGGTTTTACTTTGTATTATTTATTTTGGGCAAATTTCCAAGGGGACTTTGAGGGACTGATGGGGAATAACTTGGAGGACTCCTGAGATGCAGACTCCTGGAACTTTCCCTGTCCCTGAGTTGTGGTTCAATTGAAAATGTGCACTTAGAAAGATATCTTCCCAAGTCAAACCTGTGTCCCAGCGAAAGGAAGGGCCAGATGGAGACGGCAGATCTCATCCCCAAAGACCTCAAAGGGCCCTTTGGCTCCATGATTGCTCCCTCTTCAGTCCTTCCAAGCCCTGTTGATGTTATAATCCCTGTTATTCAAATTGCACCAGAGGAATCCATGCCAGCCCATTCTGGCTTCTTAGTCATTTCACTCATCAGCCCAGGATCCAGGGTTAATCATTCAGCTTCAGGTTTCTTCACTTGTGGATAACAAAGTTGCTAACTTCATAGGATGGTTAGAAGAATTAAATGAGAGGTTATTTATTTATCCATATATTTATTTACACAATTTAAATGGCAGTATAACTAACATAGACTCAAGGGCATGAATCTTAACTATAAGCTCAATGATTATTTTTTACATACATGTGCAGCTGCTAACCACCACCCAGATCTAGATAGACAGTTAAATGAGATTTTAAAAGCTGACAGAAGCTTATAAACTGTAAAGCGCTGAAGAAATGTTGGTTTTGAGTATTACCAGGAGGTGGAGCCTCTTTCCCATTAAATTCCTCTCCTATAACTTCTAGGTTTCTAGAAATCATTAGCACCAGTTGCAACACCCTAGCAAATAATTGCTGGTGCCAGGACCTTGATACCCCAGCCATGCAGAGTGGAGACATAGACCCACCCATTGCTGTTAATCTCCACATTATCAGCATGACTTCTCTGAGTCTTGTTAACTCCTGCACCCTCCCCTTCAGGCAGCAGTATGTCCTCACAAAACAGGGCCATTGACAACACAGTTGTGCAATTTCAATTCAGTACAATTTGATTCAAAAAGATATGCCCTTTATGCTGGCCCTGGACAGAGAAGGGGAGAAGAAATTTTCTTGGCTGGGCCTTCCAAGGGGGCTTGAAGACTGTGAGGCTGTGGCCAGTTTAGTACGTACCTGTGAAGTGAAGGCCACAGAGGTTGGAGCTGTGACTGTCACCCTTCTCTCCCATGGGACTCTCTACCAGAGGGTTTCCAGACCCTCTCTCCAGTGCTGTCTACTCCTCTGGGCTTTAGCCAGCTTCCCCACTTTACCTGCTAGATTTCTCCCCTGGCTACTCTATGGCCCTCAGAGCTTAGTGATTTGCTAAGAAACCCATCTTTTCTCTTCCACCTGGCTTCTTCCTCCTGGCTTCCCTCTTTCTCCATTCTGGCATCACTAACTCGCAATCATCCACTCTAAGCCACATCCGAGGGTCAATTTTACACAGGCTGTGGTTCTTCCTTCTGAACTTTCTCTCTCGTTATCTCCACTGTTGCCTTGAAAAGCCCCCATTCTGCCAGATCCTCCTAACTGACTTTCTGCCAAAGCTGGAGTCCATTCCCTCCCTCACTTCCCTAACAAATGTTACCCACCCTTCCAGACCAAGGAAAATGCCTCTGCCTCCCAGAAGTACTCCTTGATTCCTTCAGTTACATGTTATTTACCTTTTCTGGTTGTTGACTACAGTCAGCCTTTCTCACACTTTCTAAGTTTCTCGCTCTGTCTCCCTGTCTCTGGTGTTAGTGCAGTATTTGGCCCTGGGCATTGGTGAATGAATGGATGAATACTGCATTTATGGCTAGACAACATAAGTAAAGGCAAAGCCATTGAGCTATTAATCATACTTTCAGGGACCCAAGCCTCTTTTAAAAGGCCAGAATATGCTAATTCAAGTGGAGGCTTTGAGAATCTTCCTTTATCCTCTCCATCCCTGACCCTTGAGCCTAACAGAAAAGGGCAGACACCTGACACCTCACACTGCTCAGTGCATGGAAATGTTGAATCTAGAGAAACTTTGTCATAATTACCTACCTACTTGAAAGTACAAACTACGTAATTTGCCTTTAAGTGATCTTAAATTATTATAAATAATGAAGTATGCTCAGAATACTCAAGTACTGGTACATCAAATTGAAAACAATTAAAATTAAGACGGATTTATTAGTATTGTGACTATTATTGATTAAAATGGTAATGATAAATAAGGAGAAATGTTAAGTACAACAGGGAATTGGTAATATTTCTTCAAAGTAATCATTTTGCTGTGACTACCCAATTATTAGTACATTTAATGCGTTATTCAGTGCAATTAATTACCCACTTTGCTTCTGGGAAGGCACTAGGAAAAAATTGCTTTCTGCCTGGAGTGGAAAAGCCACTGCTTCTGGAATGATGTGTGATGAAGACCATGCTCTTTGCGGATGTGGCTCCTAGCAGCTCTGATAGAAGCTGCACATGCCCTTAGGGAAGAAGGGACACAACAGATATAGCAGGTTCTCAGCCTCAGTCACTTGCTTTTGTAACCATGGGAGGTGCTGGTAAGCGGGCTGGAGGATGGAGTCAGGAAACCTGGCTTGAGTCTTGGCTGGGTCAACTAGTTGTGTGACCTGAGTTTAGCTGCTGCACCTCCCAGTGGTTCATTTTCCTCCTCTGTAGAATGGGAATAATACAACCTGCCTGTGGAGATCTCTATGCAAAGGGGACCTGTCAGTGGTGCAGATGTGCTGGGCTGTAGCGATTACATGTCAAGAGCCTCAGGTCTTCCCCCAGGCTCACTCTGACTTGGAGATTTGCTTCTGGGTCCTGTAAACCACTGCTGGGAGTCACCTCTGGCAGTGTGCCATAGGTCTGCGACATCTAAATGCAAGGTGAACGTGGAAGGTTGCATACCTGCCCTCTACCCCCACTGTCAGAGACATTTGAACCAGAGCAACTCCATCTTGAACCAGAGCAACTCCATCTTGAACCAGAGCAACTCCATCTTGAAC